TCTCTTCCTCATTTTACTAAAGAAATCTTTTTATTTTTTACAAATTGTGCGTGTAATAAATTTTATTGATAAAAATATACTGCGATCTTTAGAAAAGAAACATTTATTTGAAATTTTGAAAGTTACTTTATAGGTTATTTATAATAAGTTATTTTTTATTATATAGAAATGAAGTACAATAAGTGTTTTATTTTTTATACTGCATTTTATCATTTGTATTACTTTTTGTACTCAATTTCTTTAACAAACACATATAAAGTAACCTAAAAAGTAACTCACAAAATAACTTTCCAACCCTGGATTTATTGTAATGAAATAATTGTTGTGGAAATTGAAATTTAATTGGTCGAAAACTGACGATCGCCGCGATTTTTGATCCCTACTGGAAAAGCGTCTGTAATTTCATGCCTGTAATTCGTCGATAAGGTTTACGACGCGTCATATAGGAAAATACTGCACGATCCGTTTTAGTATCATTCGTTTTACAGGTTTTATCCGTTTTACATTTCAATAATTCTATTGGTGATTGAACTCCTTTAGAACAACATTTCATATCACGCACACACGCGGGTGATTTATTAGCCAATTGCATGCCTCGTAATTCAATCATATGATATGACATAAAATCATGTTTTATCTTTACATTAACAATGCATAATGTAGGCGTTTGTTTAACGAAATAATTTGTAAATCAATAAGTGAATCCTCTTTGTAGAGACATCGGTTTTTTGATCTTCCATAATAGCATAAAATTGTCGCGCGAATATATATTAAATTGAAATATACGATTGATAAAATCCTCGTTCGATGCATCAGCGATTCTGTCGTCCATTCCGGGCGACACGCGTCCACGAAGATGAGATGCAGGGAATTCGCGAATATGTGATGGAAATTACTCGTTATGCCCTGGAGAATTGCACGCGGGACGTCCGACGGTGAGAAGTGAAGTACGATGACGATCTGTTAGAAAGCGGATAAACTCTGTTCCCTTTCTTTCCGAACCTTCTCTGACTTCTCTGTTGCCGTATAATGACTAACAATCCCTCCGCACGAGCCTTTGGAACAATGGAAACAATATAGTGATACGAGAAAGCCGGTTTGCATTGTCGGACAAACCACAGACAGGGCTCCTCATTTTCCCTCCTTCGCACCCTTTTCTCTTTCCCACCCTATTCGTCTGCAACCACCGCGATCTGTGGTACATCTATATACCATTCATCTGTTCTTCTCTCTGATTCCATCTCACTTTGTGCTATCCAATACCACACAGTCGTTCGCGTTTTGTCTGTTTCTGCACCCGTGGATATTCCGGACTTAACTTTTTCTTCCATCCTTCTCTTCGTCGCTCTTCGAAAAGCGCGGAAAGAATCGTACGCCGCTGCTGAATAGGCGTTGATTCCGGAGCGAAGACTGCTCCCTTCGGCGCTTCTTCCGCCCTTTGTACGCGCGCTGGCAGCGCTAAGGGTTTTACCTTCTCATTCTTCATCGGCAATTAGTCAGCGATGCTGACTAAGTTCGCCGGTATTAGTCGTGCTGATTTTTCAAAATTATGAGAAGTGAAACGATATCTTGCGCATTACTCGTCGACAAAATTTTTCACTAAATCTAAAATATATTACGCGAACGCGGTTAAAATGTACTGTAAATAATACGTCGTTCGAAATTTGATATATTTAATATTTTATTTAAACAAGGAAAATATCTATGGAGAGAGAGAGAGAGAGAGAGAGAGAGAGAAACTTGAAATACATATTGGAAATTATGGTTTGACTATAACATAACATATTTTTGATAAATTAAATAAAAACACATAAACTCTCCTTTGTACAAACATTTATTTTATATTCTATTTTATTTTTTATAATAATCCATTTCAATGTGAATATATTCAAAGTAAATTCTCACTTAACGTTCCTATATGTTGTATATAAAGTTGCACATGTTTTACAAATGCAAAAAATTTTATGTATTATAATTTAAAGCTTTTCCAAAATTCATATACACAGAGATAAATGGATAACCTTTCAACCTTTTTTTTTAATTGTCGGAAGTGTCTAAAAAATGTGCGGACCGTTACGCTGAACACCCTGTATATAGGAATTTTGGAAAAGCTTTAAATTATAATACATATCTGATATCTAGGTACATAAAGATATCTTCTACATAAAGATATCTATTTTTATGTAGAATCTCTCACAAAGATCAAAATGTAGATATATGTATATTTTCGTTTTGATCTTTGTGTGAAGTTCTACATAAAAATCCTGGATATCAGATATTAAATAAGAATACAATATTGCTAAATTATTTCTATTGTGCGCGTGACGTCTCGAAGAAAATCGTCGCAGGTTTCTCTTCGAACAACTAATGGCAACTACGTTGTTCCACCAAAGCACTGGGTGCACTGGACGGAACGTGAATAAAAGCGGCACTTGAGGCAAACTAGAGAGAGAGCGAATTCTCGAAGGATGTTGACACAAAACATTATACGGGTGGTCGCCGCGCCCTCGGTCTCGTCTCGTCTCTTCAACGGCCGCCTGCTAAGAAGCACAAGTACGCGTTTTTGGGGATACGCTTGTGACGATACGTTAAGGGTTGACGTGGTGTTACACTTCTAGTCTGTCGGTGTATCGTTTACAACAGTCGACGTGGTGATCGTGTTCTCTCCTTCTCTCTCTTTCTCTCTCTCTTCCTCGGTCTCGCTGAATGCCCTAGAGAGGGTGTGTAGTTGAGTACGTGCCAGAGTAGATGCAACCCTTAGCTACGCATTCGCTCGTCCTTCCACTCACCGTCCATTGTTTAGCTATTTTGATGAGCCAACGTATTTCGAGTGCGTTCGACGTGGCTCGATTCTCGATCTGTTTCCGTAATCTGGATCTGTCATATAATCAAATAAGAACGTAGGATTTTGCAAATTCGAAAAGATTTACATGCCGGAGGAACATTGAATCGATCGAACATCATGAAGTTACAAGAACGTGTATCTATCAACGTACAAATAAAAAAAGAGTAAAGTTCACGCGATTAATCTTTCTGATATGACGCTCCTGTTACGTTCGTAATCCAATCCGATTCAAGAAGAGATCCGAGATCCGAGATCGTATTTCTGATGTATGCTACCAATCCGGAGAAATTCCCGGTAACGATCGAATCGCAAGACGACCGATGTACGTCAGAGGGTTGTACGGACAGTGGTGGAATTATAACGTGAACCGAGGGGACTCATGGAAGATGAAGAGTTAACTTTTTATGCGAGGCACCTTCCCACCCTGCTCTTCCTTCCGCGGGGAAATGATTACGGAGCTCGGGGTAAATGTAGGTCGCAAGATATATCCAATCGCAGGTCCGCAGTGCACTGGCTATCCGGGCGATGGTGGAGCACGCTCGACGTTAAGATTCGAAACTCTGCCGGCTTTGAAGAAAGAGAGATGTCGAAAGAACGAGAGAAAATGAGAGAGAGAGAGGGAAGAGGGTGAGAGGGTAAGGCAGGAAGTAAATCTTTGCTAGGTACTACAGCTTTTATAGGAGAGAGTCCGCGATTTTCTTTTTCGAGAAAACGATAACTTTCCGGATTCGAACGTGCACGTCCGAGAGACGATGCCACGAGGGTGGGGAATCCGCCAAGCTACTAGAAACGTTGCCTTGGCTTATAGGAGATAAGTAATCAAGATTTAAGCTCGCCAGGCTGGCGTAAGGGAAGGGAATTGCCAACGTAAGCGCTCATCGGAGACTCGGACCAAAACAACTTCCGACCTCGCTACTTTCGGCTATATTCAGCTACTCAGAGTACCTTGGATTCGAGCCTGCGCCGGGAAGATAAAAGCACGTAATTTTAGTAGAAACCAAGCCATTTAACTATGTGTAACTGTATGTGTGTGTGTGTACTTTGACTTGTAAATTTATAGTTAGCGTATACAAGCCGATAGTATCGTTGATAATTCATGTCGCGACTGCGACTCGCGGGTGCGATAATAATTTTCTTTTTTTTTTTCCATAATGCTGCATTTGCGTAATTCGTCCAAAGTTTCGCACGTTGAAACTTTACGCTAAAATGCCCGCGCGCCCCGAAATTCCTAAAACGCGCTGCCTTTGACGTACTTCGATCGCGATTTCGTCAGAAGCACACGCGGAAACACGCCACGAGCGCGCACGTCATTCGTTGCACGTTCTGTAACGTGGATAGTCCGCACTTGGTCGGGCCAGCTTCCAGATGAGCAATGCTGGAGGGAATGCGGAATACATCGGGAGCGAACC